GTGGAGCTCCCTACGGAGCCACGAAGCGCTGTACTTGGGGGGGACGAATGCAGGCGGTAGCACTGGGGCCTTCAGTGGAGCTCCCTATGGAGCCACGACGCGCGTACTGGGTGGGTGAAACGCAGGGGAGAGGGAGGAGGAGGAGGAGGAGGAGGAGGAGGAGGAGGAGGAGGAGGAGGAGAGAGGAAGGAGGAGGAGAATGCGGGGACCGTCTCTTCACACCACAGGATGGTTGGGAAATAGTGCGGGAACCATTTTTGTATTATTTTCGATGTTGTTTAAGCATGGTTGGGCTATCTTTTGTTTTTTCCTCCACAATCCGCCTGTAGGAGGACATGCCCGACCTAACCCAAAGGGTGGGGAGCGGAACAGAGCGAAGACCAGATGGCACTTGCAGCCCAACGGGAGTGTGTCGCCACAGGCCTGGAGGAGGTGCGGGCGAGGGGGGGAGAGCACAGCGGCCAGGCCACGCCCTCGTCGCACTTGGCCCCCCCTTCTCCTCCTCCCTGCTTCCCTTTGTGCCCTGCAGCCTGCAGGGCGGGAGGCTGCAGGTGCAGGCGCGGCGCTCGACTGCCAGGCTCGACGTCGCTTCTTGCCAAGCGCCCAGACCCCCGGCGCCATGATTTTTTGCACAACGTCGGCCCCGAGAGGTCTCGACCCAATTCTCGGGACCGGCTTCTCATCCCGAGCCGTCTTTTGACTGCCCCGGGGCTCGGCAGGGGCCCCCAGATGCCGAGAATGGCGAGAGACCTCCCGTCACGATTCTTTCAATGCTCGAGGGGGTCTGGGAGGCTTGCTCCACCATCCCCTGGTTGGGTTGGCGGGCGGTCCCGGGTTGGGCTGCGGCAGGAGTATAAGATTGCGGGGACGGTCGGTCCCTGCTCAAATCCTCGATTCCTTGGTTTCCGACCTTCGAGGGCCCCGCTCGTCGCTACGGTCGGGCGCGGCCCCGAAGGCACGCCTGGGTGGGCCTCGGAGGGGCTGGGGATGATTTGTCTGTCAGATTTGTCAGACAGGGGCAGGTAGGGGCAGCGTTCTATATGACAGGCCGTTGTTGGTCTTGTGTTTTCAGGAATGGGCCGCCTCCTTTTTTCCATAAGCATATTAGAAGGATCAGGAGGGAACAAAAACACACAGACACAATTAATCGTCGATCCCCCAGAAAATATGGGAAAATATTGGAAGTGGTGGGGAAGAAAGAAACCCAGAAAATATAGGAAAATATAGGGAATATGTTTTATTTGTGTGTATTTATTTGTGTGTCCCAGGGCCCCTTCAATGGATTCCGAGGAAGCAGGAGGTCTCCCACGAATCGGAGCCACACAGTCTTCACCGCAGAGTTGTATAACGCGTAGGTAGCTAGCACCGCAAAGCGTACACCACACATCCTGCACAGCAAGCGTACGTTACATAGCTCACATCACATAGCTTACGCCACAGAGCTTACACATCCACACAGCAATCGCTTCCTATTTGAGGTCTGTGCTGGCAAACACTTGTCACCCAGATATGTTCCTCTCGGTAGTGTGCTTGATGTACCACATGGGTGGTCCATGATTGTGCCTAGCGCCGTTTTTGTTCCATCGATCCATCGTAGAAATGATCGTCCATAGAAGCAGACCAGACCCGAGCGAGAACCCCCCTTTATCACTGCGCGCATACAAGCCAGGGTACGTGAGATCATGCATTACTTCAGGGAGGCTACGAGATGACGTCTCTGCTCAATAGACTTACCCCCGAAGGGTGGTCCAAACCGATCCTTCCCCATACGGCCGTGCATCGGCACTGGCGAGAAGGCGTGTTTTTTGTTTGCGCGATGTTTCTTCTCACGCGTGGTTTCTCGTGGCCCGACGGGCGCGAGAGTTACTCGTAAGGAGCGGGGTAAAGGAAGGAAGGAAGGCGAGCACGACAAGGACAATGAGAAGGAGAAAGGAGCCCTCCTCCCCATCCCTGCGCCGCTTCAACTCCCCCTGGGGCGAGAGCGGGGCATCTTCAATCCCTCCTCCTCACTGGTCGTCCTCCAACTTATGAATTGAACGCCCCCGAGGGGGCAGACACCGCCGCCCCACAGTTTTTGGAGCTCGGCCGCTATGATGCAGATGTGGGAAGACGTGAATCCCGCGGCCAGACTTGGCGAGGCTCCCACAAGAAATACACATGGACCGCCTGAGTAGCATTGATTGGGTCACGCTGAGGCGAAGACTACCCAAGGAGTGCGAGCAGTTTCTGGGAACCTGCTCCTGGAAGCCGAGGGGGGGCCCGACAAGCCGCCAGGGCGGCCTCACAGGTCTGAAGAGCCCCAACAACCGTCGGGCTCGGCCAAGAAAGGGCGCCCGAGGGCCCCGAAAGGGGCCAAGAAAGCGACGAGCATTGGTCGAGGGCGGCAGAGTGGGGTGAACGAGGGGGGGGGGGCGCACGAGAGGCAGTCGGGACGGCCGCAGGCAGTAACTCCGCGGATGCCAAGACGGAAGGAGGAGCCCAGGGAGACGCACGGGAGCTCCAAGAGAGGCGCCAGGAGAAGCCCGAGACAGGTGGCATCGTGGGGCCCGATGTGTGTTGATTTGGTTCTGTGTTCATTGTCAGTAACGATGGCAGGTGCTTTGAACCCAAACGCAGGCGGAGAGGCATCCAGAACGGCCCCAGATGATCGTACCTGACACGGGGGTCGCTTTGGGACAGAAATGGTGGCCAGCGGGCGCCCCGGCAGCGCCTACGGCCCTCGGGTCGGCGTTATGAGCGGTCCCCCGGAGGGGTTCGGAGAGGCTCAGAGGTCGGAGCTCAAGAGACGGGGTCAATGCAAACGGGGGTCAGTCGGATCGCCGGATCTTGCAGGATCCTGCAAGGCCAGGGTCGCATTCGCCCGGGCTTGGGTGCAAGATCCTACAGGATCCTGCAAGGCCTGACTGATCTGGGTTCGGCTTGACCAGGGCCATAAGATCCTTGAAGAGGCAGGGATGGGTGTGAAAAGTGCGTTGGTGAGAAGACTCACGAGAAATTGCCCTTGCAGATCATGCGGTGGTGGCCTCACACGCCGTACCCGGTGGGGCGGCGGATGGTTTCGCTCATTCTGTTGGCTCTCATTGTCTCACTGGTGCTACACGTTGGCGAGCGAGAAGGAAGAAGAGTGGAGAACGAGGATGAGGCCTCTCGGTGGCTTCTTGGGGCATTCTTTGGGCCAAGCTGAGTCGTTGACAAGACGCCTCTTCGGGAGGCTTCTCGGGGTCTCTTGGGACACCTCTCGGCGGCCTCTTGGCGGTATTTTGGGCAACTCCGTGCCTTTTGGTGCTCTTTGAGGGCCGATTTGGGCCTCGTGGGGGAGGGTCTCTCGCGCCTCCGAGGGACTCTTCGGGGCCTCTTCGGGGCCTACCCGTGGTCGAGGGGCCAATCTTTCGAGGAAGTGTTCGACATGTCAGGTCGGACTCCCCCTCTTGAGGCCCGTGGGAGCCTCCCTTGCGAGGTCTCTTGGGCCGGGGGCCCTCTTGGGCTGTCTTGGAGCCGCCCTGAGAACCTCTTGGTCCGACTTGGGGCGATCTCGGGGGTCTCTTGGGCTGTCTTGGCAGCCCGAACAGGCGGTGGCGCCAAAATCCTCTTCCAAAGACCTATTAAAAAAAGCATCGACATTTTAGCTCCTGGGGGCCCTCTTGGACCTGTCCCGGACCATCTTGGGGCCATCTTGAGGCCTTGTGGGATTGTTTTTCGGGCCATCGTGAGGCCTGCCTGCCAATTCTTGATCCCGACTCTTGGGCCCTCTTGGAGCTCCTGTGGGGTCCCTGAGGGCGATCTTGAGGGCCCCGAAGACAGCCCTTGGGAGTTCTGGCATCCGTGACACCGACCGCCTGGAAGTTGCCCGGGGCCTTTCCAGGGTGAGTGTTGTCCGGGGGGACCCGAGTGGCCGCCGCGCGCGCGAAGTGGAGAAGCAGGCCACCTGCTACTGGAGAAGGTGGCACGCCTCTGGCCCGTTTGGCCGGTGCCTCCACTTTCAAGCATTTGCCCTCCTTGCTTGCGGCTTGCCACGGCACCGACTCGAAGTACAGCTGACCCGCATAGCAAGGTTGGGCAGCCTTCCCAAGGGTACCCTTGCATCCTTGCCTCCTCGGTCCATCCTTGGCCACTTTCGTTGTCCGCGCCCCACTCGAGAAGCTTCGAGATGGCCTTCCAAGGCCTTTGCATCCTCACTGCGCATCCTCATGATACGGGCCGACTGTACAGGAGGAACAAAGGAATCGCGTAATAATGAACTGTTGGGGGTCCGCGCGGACTTCTTGGATCTGCGCCGGGCTCCCCCCTCCCAGGCTCGCGGAGGTCGCCAGGTGCGGCGCCAGAGGCGCCGTCCTTGGGGGGTCCAGCGCAGATCCACGAAATCCGCGCATATTGCCAACAGTTTATGCTCAAGCATTTTGCTACCTTTAGAACCATTGCGCATCCTTATGATGCGGGCCGACCGTACCGGAGAATGTGGCACGCCTCTGGCCGCTGGCCCGCTGGGCCGGCGCCTTCACCTCCGAGCAGCTGCCCACCGCGCCTGTGGCCTGCCGCGCGGCACCGGCTCCGAGTATAATTATGTGGCCATCTCGTGCTGGCGCCTTGGAGCCCACGCATGGTGCACCCGCGAAGGAGCCCCCCGTGCGGGAGTGCTATGCCTGAGTCGGGCATGTCCCTCTATAGGAGGAGTATCCAAGAATAGCCCAAAACTGGCATGGGGACGGTTGTACCACTACATTTTGAATATGTGTTGACTATGTGCACTGTGATTCCAAAATCCGCCTGTAAGAGGACGTGCCCGACCTAATGACATGCTCGGCTTTGCTCTTCTACTTACTCGTGTTCCTCAGTGTCATCTTTCCTACCTTTCCAGCTCTTCGTCATTACCGCCACGCTGCTCAGACTTCTGCCGCTCCTCTGCTTCGTGTCCTCCTCGTCGTCCTCCTCCTCTTCCTGTCCTCCTCGTCCATCTCCTCAGCCGTACCCCTCGCTGGACTCATTCCCAAAAACGCCGGGAGGTCTGTGGACGACGAGCGGTCAAGAAGCCACTACCCGTCAGACGACGAAGGGGATGAGGACGCGTTTGGCTTGGCTCCTCTTCGGGGGGGGAGGAGGAGGAGGAGGAGGAGGAGGAGGAGGAGGAGGAGGAGGAGGAGGAGGAGGAGGAGGAGGAGGAGGAGGAGGAGGACGAGGAGGGAGGACGAGAGGAGGAGGACGGAGGAGGAGGAGGAGGAGAGGAGGAGTGAGGAGTGAGGAGGGAGGAGGGAGGGAGGAGGAGGAGGAGGAGGAGGAGGAAGAGGAGGAGGAGCAGGAGGAGGAGCAGGAGGAGGAGCAGGAGGAGGAGCGGGAGCGGGGAGGGTGTGTGGGAAGACCAGGAAGCGGAGCAGGAGGAGCAGAGGGAGGAACGGGAGAAGGAGGAAGGGGAGGAGGAGGGGGGGGACCGAACAGAGAGGGGCCGCTGGGCCGGCTGCCCCAGCCCTGAAGACCCGCGCGAGAGGTGCTAGCTACTGGGGGGAAGCCCTGGGCACCCTGCATGCAGCCGATTCGATAGGCTTACGCCACATCCACCGACCCTGTATAAACGATTGCGCCTCCAGGGCCGCATTTCACGAGGCTTGTCCGAATCATGACACGGCGCTCGACATCGTTCTTGTTGCTTCGTTTCTGTTAGGTGCTCTTTTGTAGCCTTTTGGTGGCATCTTGGCATGTCTGCAGACCATATCTGGCCGCCTCGAGGCATCTTGGTCAAAGTTTGGGGGCTTCTTAGGGGACTTCCTTGGGGCTTCTTGGAGGCCTCTGAGGTTTTCTCGGAGGTCCCTCAGGGCCTTTTGGGGCGTTCTTGTGGCAGGCTGGGGGCGGCTTGGGGGGCCGAAGGCTCGAAAAGGTGCCCTCTGGACTCCGTCTTGGAGCCCTCTGGGGGCCCTCTTGGGCTGTCTTGGGGGCTTCGCGGGCTGTTGTTGGACCCTCTTCGACCCTTCTTGGGGGCCCCTTTGGCCGTGTGGGGGCGATACTGAAGGTTTCGTTGCCCGTTGTGAACGTTGTGAAAACCGAATAAGCGAGCATGCGAAAAAAACATTTTTTTTTCAAAGGGAATGGGCCGATTTCTGTTTCTTGGGACCCTCCTGGGGCGCATCTTGGGAGCCTTTTTGGGGCGTCTTGGCAGCTTCGGAGGCCGCCTGGAGGCCATCGTGGGCGTCCAGGAGCGATCTGTCGGCGAATCGTTGCCCCCTGGGACCGTCTAGGGAGCGTGTTGGTGCCTTCTTGGCAAGTTTTGGAGCCCTCCGCTCCCCCATGGAGCTTTCGGTCCTGCCTCGGCCCAAGGGGGGGGGGTCCCTGAGGGGTGGATTATTCGGAGGAGGAGGAGGAGGAGGAGGCGGAGGAGGAGGAGGAGGAGGAGGAGGAGTGACGATTTGGTTTGGAGGCGTGTGCTCCTGTCTCTGGTGGCCTTTTCGGAAAGATGTCCGACACTTCGGACAGCGTGTGCGTCACCCTGGATTTCGAGACCCTGTACAGGTGTCTGGACCGTGCAATTTGTCACGGTCGTCGGTTCAAACCGGCTTGGTAGGGGGTCCGAATATCGGGGTGTTTCGCGGGGTCTCTTCGGGGCGCTCTGGAGGCGGGGGCCGATGTCAGATGGTGGAGGGATACTGCGCGGTCAGTGCGTCTTCCGTGGCTGACTTTTCACGTGTTCACTGTACAGGCATGGGGAAATACCTGCGAACACCCGCGCTCATAGACTGCAGGCGTCGGTCCAAAAACCGGACGAATGGTTCTCGAATGGCACGCGGCGCATCCCGCCACCTTGCTTGGGTTGCGGGTATGCGGCCACACGGATGGTTAATGGGATTTCGTGGGAGGTTTGACGGGGTCGTCTTGCAGGTCGTTTTGGGGCTTCTTAGGGGATTCCTTGGGGCTTCTTCGAGGCCTCTGAGGTTTTCTTGGAGGCCCCTCGAGGCCCTTTGGGGCGTTCTTGTGGCAGGCTGGGGGCGGCTTGGGGCCGAAGGTTCGAAAAGGTGCCCGCTGGACTCCGTCTTGGAGCCGTCTGGGGGCCCGCTTGGGCTGTATTGGGGGCTTCGCGGGCTGTTGTTGGACCCTCTTCGACCCTTCTTGGGGGTCCCACGTGGCCGTCTGGGGGCGACACTGAAGGTTTCTTTGCCCGTTGTGGACGTTGTGAAAAACCGAATAAGCGAGCATGCGAAAACAACGCTTGATTTTTCGAAGGGGATGGGCCGATGTCTGTTTCTTGGGACCCTCTTGGGGCGCATCTTTGGAGCGTTTTGGGGCGTCCTGGCAGCTCCGGAGGCCGCTTGGAGGCCATTGTGGGCGTCCAGGAGCGATCTTTCGGCGAATCGTGGCCACCTGGGGCCGTCTTGTGGAGCGTGTTGGTGCCTTCTTGGCCAGTTTTGGAGCCCTCCGTTCCCCCGTGGCGCGTTCGGCCCAGGGGGTCGCGCTTGGCCCGGGGGGGGGTCAAATTGCCGGTTTGGGGTCTTTTGGGGAGGATTATGGGGGGGGAGAATCTCACGCGCCTAGAGACCCACAGTGGGTCGTCGGATTTTTGAATGGCCGTGGGCAGTCATCGCGCAGCACGGGGCGCGAAAAACCTTCTTCTGTATTTTGATGAAAAGTAGATGGTCTTTTGACGCGCGCCCCCGCTGCACAGACTCAACGCGCATTGTTCGGATGGGCAACCTCCCCAAGGGTACCCTTGCATTCTTGCCTACACGGACCGTCCTTGGCCGCGTTCGTTGGCCGCGCCCCGACTGAACAGCTTCGAAATGGGCGTCCAAGGCCCTTGCATCCTCATCGCGCATCTCGATTATACGGGCCGGCTGTATCTGAGGGTTCCTTATCGCTGCGCTGCGCTCCAGTCCGCGACGGCCGACAGGTCCCAGGGGCTCGCCTGGTCGCACGGCTGGCGGTCGTCGCCCCTCGGCGGAAGGAGGGGCGAGCCCTTCTCGGCCCCTGTCCGCGGGGAGAGTGGGGGGGGGCGCGGCCCGCGGGCTCGGCCCGGCGGGTCGAGTTCGAGAGGGAGCAGAAAGGGCAACAGACCAGATACAGTCGACCGGCATAGCAAGGTTGGGCAACCTTCCCAAGGGTACCCTCGCATCCTTGCCTCCTCGGTCCATCCTTGGCCAGTTTCGTCGCCCGCGCCCCGCTCAAGAAGCTTGGAAATGGGCGTCCAAGGCCCTTGCATCCTTACGCATCGTCATGATACGGGCCGGCTGTATAGAGGAACGAAGAGACTGCATAAGCATAAATTTGTGGGGGTCCGTGCGGATTTGTCTTGGATCTGCGCCGTGACCCCCCTCCCCAGGCTCGCGGAGCGCGCCAGGGGCGGCGCCAGAGGCGCCGTCCCTGGGAGGGGGGTCCAGCGCCGATCCAAACCCGCGCAGATCTCCAACAGTTGATGCTTATGCATGTGTTGCTCTTTACTATCAGGTGGATGGTGATGACGACCACGATGATGGTGATGGTGATGGCGATGGTGACGTTCACGGTGATAATGACGACGATGATGATGATGCTGATCATGCTGATGAAGATGATGATGATGGCGGGTATGATGATGATGCTGATGACGAGGGCGCTAACGATGATTATGACAATGGTTGTGGCGATGACAATTTTGATTATGCTGATAATGATGGCGCCAATGTTGATGATGATGATGATGATGGGGATGGTGGTGGCTGTGATGATGATGGTGATGATGATGATGATGATTGTGGAGGTGATGATGCTGATGATGATGCTGATGTCGCCGATGATGGTGGTGATGATGATGATGACGATGATTATGACGTTGATGCTGATACTTATGATGATGATGCTGATGATGATGATGGGATTATCATGATGATGCTGGTGATGATGATGATGATGCTGACGATGATCATGATGATGATGATGATGATGATGATGATGATGATGATGATGATGATGGTTGTGGTGGTGGTGGTGGTGGTGGTGGTGGGTGGTGATTGTGGTGGTGGTGGTGGCGGTGGTGGCGGCGGTGGAGGTGGTGGTGAGGAAGAGGAGGAGGAGGAGGAGAAGGAGGAGGAGAAGGAGGAGGAAGGGGAGGAGCAGCGTTCGAGGGCATGGGCTCAGGGGGGGATGCATCATCGCCGATAGGGGCCCGATTCTTCGCCGATAGGGGCTGGACAGCCTTTTCCCGCTTAGGAAATGGCGGCTACGCAATCGCGGGCCTATTGCCGATCCCTACCCCTGATCCGGTCTCCCACTGAGCTGGCCCCACCTTGAGCCTGTCCCTCCCGGAGCCGGTGCACCCCCCCTATCGTTGCCACTCAGAGGAGGAGGAGGAGGAGGAGGAGGAGGAGGAGCAGGAGGAGGAGGAGGAGAAGGAGGAAAAGGAGGAAGGAGCAGGAGGAGGAGGAGGAGGAGGAGGAGGAGGAGGAGAAGAAGGAGACCCACAGCTCCTCCCAGTCAGCCCGAGGACAGCATGGAGGACGGCGACGAGCCAGACGGCGCCTGTTCCGAATTCGAGGAGGCACTGCTGCATTAGGAAGTGGGGAGCGGGGAGGGGGATGATGGTGAGGAGCAGGAGGAGGGGGGCGAGGAAGCGGTGGATGAGGCACGTTCGCGCGGGTGGCCCTGGAATTGTGCAAACGCTTCTTGAGATCTCTGGAGGCCTCCGGAGGTTTTTCGAGGCTTCGGGAAAGGGAGAGGAGGAGGAGCTGGAGGAGGTGGAGGAGGAAGAGGAGGAGGAGGAAGAGGAGGAGGAAAAGGAGGAGGAGGAAAAGGAGGAGGAGGAGGAGGAGGAGGAGGAGGAGAGGAAGGAAAGGGGGGTGGGAGGGGAAGGAGGCGGGGGAGGGGGAGGAGTGGCGGGTCTTCTGCTCTCCTTCACCATCCGCCTCGTCCAACCCCTCCCCGTGAAGGACCCTGTGGCAGGAAGAGGAAAGCTTGATCCTGCCGTTCCCCCTCCTCCATTCGTTTTCCCTATAAATGCCTCCCTATCGTGCCCCGAGGCCGGTCGAAAGGGCGGGCCGGGCATTTCGCCTGAGACTTCCTTGCCACTCATGACCCTGAAGCTTACAAGCTGAACAGCTTCACAGATGGAGGGCGGGCCGCTTCCATCATGTGGCCCTCGCCTTGGTCCCGCGCATGTTCGTTTCAAAACGTTGCAAGAGCTTCACGGATTGAGCGCGGGTCGTATCCAAAATGCGGTTCTCGTTTCAGCGTCGCGCGCATTCTTTTCAAACAATTGCGAGAGTTTCGCGGGTTCGGGGCGGGTGGTTTTCAACATGTGGTCTTTGCCTTACCGTCGCGGGCACTCGTCTTAAGAAGTTGCAGGAGCTTCACTGATTGAGGGCGGTTCCTGATCAAAGTGTGGTTATCGTTTTAGTGTTGTGCACGCTTGTTTGGACCAATTGCAAGAGTTGTGCGGGTTGAGAGCGGCTTATTTTGAAATTGTGTTGTTCGTTTTCGCGCCGCGCGCACTCGTCTTAAACATCTGCAGGAACCCCATTGATTCCCATGGTTAGCGTGCCAGAAAACACTGTTTTGGAACGGCCCAGGACTGCCAAAGCGCAATAGTTACGTTGGTTCGCCGCGTTGATGTCCCATGAATGGTGTTTTGGCTCGGTGCAGGATCGTTAAAACAGTCCGGTTGATTCGTGGCGTTGAAGGTCCGATAGTGTTGTTTTGGCACGCTTCAGGATCTTCAAGCGGTTGTTTCCCGACGGGGCACTTCCTTCAGTGGCACTGAGTCCTTGTAGTTAGGGGCCTGCGAAGTGGGAGATTCGAGGGAGAGTTTATCTCTGATCCTCCTCCTGGTCCTCAGGTTCTCTCTGGTTTTTTCTGGTCCTCCTGTCCTCCTCCTCATCGCTGATGAGTCTCAGGTTTTGTCTGGTCCTCCTCTTCCTTATCCTAAGGAGCGCCAGGAGCTTAAGGACAGCACCCAGACCATGCTGGATGGCACAGGGATCCTCGTTAACAAGCTCGGCACCCCAAGTCGAAGGAGACAACGACGGCAAGTTCAAGCGGCCACCAGTGAACGCACCCACTGGAGCATGCAGATTGCCAAGAGAAAGCGTTAGCGAGGTTTCTCGGGGTGCTGATCTGGGCAAGTTGTGAGCTGGCCGTGCCGGCAGGCAGCCAAAGGAAGCATTAGCGAGGTTTCTCGGAGTGCTACTCATGGCGGACTACTTGGGCACAACAGGACGCCCGCACTGCCATCGCAATGGGCAGTATGTTATGGAGCACCTTCAGGTACACATCTGCAGGGCGGGAGGAGAAACAGTGATCATCATGATGCCCACCTGGGTGCTCCTCGTCGGCCCCTGCCTATGACCGTGATGTCCAGTATGCTCTACCTCGCACACCCCGAGGGGGAAATGGGCGACCTCATAGGATAGTGTACAAAGACATCACATGGAGCATCTGTCAGAGCGACCGAGAAGTGAGCTGAGTGGAAGAGCGGACCACGGAATTCAACATATAGAAGTAGCAGGAGCCCCCCGAGCAACAGTTTTGGGTCTCGGGCCTTCCATCTCTCCCCTCTCTCCTCCTTTTGAGGTCGTGTCGTCGTCTCTTCCTCCCCCTTGGCTTGGGCGCCCTGCTAAGCCCGCGCGTCCCCCTCCCCAAGAGCACGCGGGAGGGCCAGCAGCTGCTCCCCCCGCACTGGCCCGATGGGACTCGCGATGTAAGGTTGCGAACCTCTCTAACGGGGCCACCTCGGAGCTCGGTCCTTGAGCTTCAGGGCACGCCCCCTGCCGGCCAGAGTGAGAAAGCAGGCTTGCAGCACAACCGCGCGCAGGAGATTTTGACAATAGCGCGTAGATCACCCGAGTGAGTGCTTTGACGCTACCCCCTCATTCGGATGTCCATGTCCGCGTCCTCCTTATCCTCCTCCTCCTCCTTCTCATTCTCCTCTCCCTCCTCCTCCGCCTCCTCCTCCTCCTCCTTCTCCTTCTCCTCCCTCCCCCTCCTCCTCCTCCTCCTCCTCCTCCTCCTCCTCCTCCTCCTCCTCCTCCTCCTCCCTCATCCTCATCCTCATCCTCATCCTCATCCTCCTCCTCCTCCTCCTCCTCCTTCTCTTCCCTCCTCCTTCTCCTCCTCCTCCCTCCTTGTCCTCTTCCTTCTCCTCCCTCTCCATCGCTCCCCGCCCACCGCCTGGTGAGCGCCGGCAGGTGCCCCTGGGGACGTACCTGCGCCAGCTGGCGAACGTGGGCCCGGACCCCAGGCGTCGTCGCCCTCCTTTCTGGCGGGTGCTGCCGGGGGGGGATTTACATGGGGGCGGGAAAAGGGCCCGACATTCACCCTTGAATGCCACTTTTGGATTCACGAGGGAACGAACACAGCGACGCACGTGAACCGCAATAGTAGCATTACTGAAAAATTCTTGTGTAGAGCGCGCCTCCTCGCACACAAGGCTCACCCAAGGCTCACCCAGTACCTCCCTTCTCTCGTCTCCTCCCTCGCCCTCATCTTCCCCCTTTTTCCTCCTCCTTCTCCACATCATTGTCCTCCTCCTCGTTTTCCTCCTCCACCTCCTCTTCCTCCTCCTCCTCCTCCTCCTCTTCGTCCTCCTCCTCCTCTTTCTCCGAGTCTGCTTAATTTGAGCTAGAAACTTAGTTTTGACCCTTGTGATTGATCAAGGCAACTCGCGGGGGCATCCAACATTGGATGCCCCCTTGCCTTGCTTACAACACCCACCGTTGTTTTTCAATCTACACTCTTCGTGCATCGTCGTAGTCACTCCCCTAATTTGCCTCCTCGCCCCGCTGGTTGCGACGGCATTCTGAAGGTCATCGCTGGGTTTCCCCAGGCAGGCCGAAACTTACGTTCGACGTTTTCCCTTCAAAAAAGCAACTCGCTCGAGCATCGTTCCAGGACGGGCTGTTGCGATGCGGAGATCGCCGATGACCTGGCGAGATCTGATGTGGAGTTGGCAAACACGCGCCCCAAACGCAGTTTTGTGTGTAACGACGCACGAACAACAAAATATAGGCAACAGAGGGGGGGCGGGGGCATCCAAAAATGGAGCCCCTTTTGTTTGGTCCCCTTGGTTTGCCCCCCCCCACCCCCCCCCCCCCCCCCCCCCCCCCCCCCCCTCCGTTTTTTTCAAACAAAGTGTTTGCGCACCTGGTTTGTTTCGAAATGCTTGCCATACTCTGTCCCGCGCAGAGACGGACGCGACAAAAAAGGGGTATTCTTGCTTCCAACATCCATCGTTGCTCTTCAGATTGTGTTAATATTGTACAGTTTTCTGTGGTAGTTGTTGGTAGGGCTGTCCGTGTAAAGTCGAGCAAAGAGCAGCCCGAAGGCACCAACAAAAAAATGCATTTTAGAGTTCCGGGGTGGACACCGATCGTGAAAATGGTTACGTCATACAAAAATACACTTTTGGAACGTGCGATTTTGTTCGCAGAATGTTTGAAACGCGTTGCTTTCCGCCTTGGCGTAAGGTCTTCAGAAGAATGGAATGGAGAGCTTGACAAGCATCCCGCGCCCAAAATTTAACGAAACATGCGCAGAACTTCTCCGTCTAGACAACACGAATCCAAAAAGGAAACCCTCAAGGCGTGAGTCCGCCCCATGAAATGGAAGGCTATGGTTTTCACCCGTTGCGTTTCTGATGGCAAACACGCCGCGCCCAAAATTCACAAAACATGCGCATAACCTTCCCGTGTTCGCAATCTGAATCCAAAAACAAAGCCCTCAAAGGGTGCTTCCGCCCCACCACTGCCGCCCCAGCACCACAGCCTCAGTAGTACAGCCCCAATACTACAGCTCCAGAACTACAGGCCCCAGTATTACAAGGGTACTGAGGAGGAAACCAAGAGGAGATTATTCACTGCGTGGGGATCCCCATATGTGCATCTCCTTGCTGGCGTTCCCTTGGTGGTGGGACTCGGTGAGGACGAATCTGGATTTAAGTGTGACTGAGCTGCCTCTCTCTCTGCTCTCTCTGCTCTCTCTGTCTCTCTCTCTCTCTCTCTCTCTGCCCTCTCTCTGTCTCTGCCTCTCTTTCCCTGCTCTCTCTCTCTCTCTCTCTGCCTCTCTCTCTGCCTCTGTCTCTCTGCCTCTCTCTCTCTCTCTGCCTCTCTCTCTGTGCCTCTCTCTCTCTGCCTCTATATCTGCCTCTCTCTCTCTCTCTCCTCTCTCTCTTCTCTCTATTCTCTCTCTGTTTTCTCCTCTCTCTCTCTCACTCTCCCTCTCTCTCTCTCGCTCTCTCTCTTCTCTTCTCTTCTCGTCTCTCTCTCTCTCTCTCTCTCTCTCTCTCTCTCTCTATATATATATATATATATCTCTTTCTCTCTTTCTCTCTCTATCTCTCTCTCTCTCTCTCGCTTCTGTCTCTCTCTTTCGCTCTCTCGCTCTCTCTTGCTCTCTCTCGCTCTCTGTCGCTCTCTCTCGCTCTCTCTCTCTCTCTCTCTCGCTCTCACTCGCTCTCTCTCGCTCTCTCTCGCTCTCCCTCGCTCTCTCCCGCTCTCTCTCTCTCTCTCTGCTCTCTCTCTCTCTCTCTCGCTCTCTCCCGCTCTCTCTCTCTCTCTCTCTCTCTCTTTCTCTCTCTCTCTCTCTTCTCGCTCTCTCTCTCTCTCTCTCTCTCTCTCTCTCTATTTTCTCTCTCGCTCTCTCTTCTCTCTCTCTCCCCCCCCCCCTCTCTCTCCACTTTTCTCTCTCTTCTTTCTCTCTCTCATCGCTCTTCTCTCCTCTCACTCTCTCTCTCTCTCTCTTCTATCTTATTTCTTTCTCTCTCCTCTCTCTTCTCTCTTTTCTCTTCCTCTTCTCTCTCTCCGCTCTCTCTCTCTTCTCTCTTCTCTTCTTTCTCTCGCCTGTTCTTCCTCTCTCAACTCCCCTCTCTCTCTCTCCTCTCCGCTCTTTCTCTCTCTCCTCTCTCTCTCTCTCTCTTCCTTCTCTTCCCTCTTCTCCCCCCTTCCCCCCTTCCCCTCTCTCTTTCGCTTCCTCTCTCTCTCTCTCTCTTGCTCTCTCTCTCTCTCTCTCTCTCTCTCTCTCTCTCTCTCTCTCGTCACGGGCTCGTGAGGTCAGCCAGGGTGGCTCCCCCTTGGGGCTCCCAAATGATGCCCCTGGCAGCGTTTTGTGACCATGAGGCTCTCAAGAGATACATGTTGGGGAGGCCAATCGGCAATTCTAGCTGAGGCGTCCCACCAAAATCGGCGCGAACGGGCTCGTGAGATCAGCCAGGGTGGCTCCCCCTTGGGGCTCCCAAATGATGCCCTTGGCAGCGTTTTGCGACCATGAGGCTCTCAAGAGATACATGTTGGGGCGCCAAACGGCAATTCTAGCTGAGACGTCCCACCAAAATCGGCGCGAACGGGCTCGTGAGATCAGCCAGGGTGGCTCCCCCTTGGGGCTCCCAAATGATGCCCCTGGCAGCGTTTTGTGACCATGAGGCTCTCAAGAGATACATGTTGGGGACGCCAAACGGCAATTCTAGCTGAGGCGTCCCACCAAAATCGGCGCGAACGGGCTCGTGAGATCAGCCAGGGTGGCTCCCCCTTGGGGCTCCCAAATGGTGCCCCTGGCAGCGTTTTGCGACCATGAGGCTCTCAAGAGATACATGTTGGGGGCGCCAAACGGCAATTCTAGCTGAGACGTCCCACCAAAATCGGCGCGAACGGGCTCGTGAGATCAGCCAGGGTGGCTCCCCCCTGGGGCTCCCAAATGATGCCCCTGGCAGCATTTTGTGACCATGAGGCTCTCGAGAGATACATGTTGGGGGCGCCAAACGGCAATTCTAGCTGAGACGTCCCACCAAAATCGGCGCGAACGGGCTCGTGAGATCAGCCAGGGTGGCTCCCCCTTGGGGCTCCCAAATGATGCCCCTGGCAGCGTTTTGTGATCATGAGAGAGTGTGAGTGTGAGCTTAACTTATCTTATCTTATCTTGAAATCTCTTCTTACCATATCTTGTGCTATCTTATCTTATCTTGTAGTATATTATCTTGTCTTGTCATATCTGGTGATTATCATTGGGAGGAGGGAGGCGCGAGCGGGAGGAAGGAGGAAGGAGGAAGGAGGAGCAGTGGGAGGCGTCAGAGTAATTATTCACTGCGTGGGGATCCCCATATGTGCATCTCCTTGCTGGCGCTCCCTTGGTGGTGGGACTCGGTGGGGACGAATCTGGGTTCAAGTGTGACTGAGCTGCCTCTCTCTCTGCTCTCTCTGCTCTCTCTGTCTCTCTCTCTCTCTCTCTCTCTCTCTCTCTCTTTCTCTCTGCCCTCTCTCTGTCTCTGCCTCTCTTTCCCTGCCTCTCTCTCTCTCTCTGCCTCTCTCTCTGCCTCTCTCTCTCTGCCTCTCTCTCTCTCTCTGCCTCCCTCTCTCTGTGCCTCTCTCTCTCTCTCTGCCTCTATCTCTGTCTCTCTCTCTCTCTCTCTCTCTCCTCTCTCTCTTCTCTCTATTCTCTCTCTGCTCTCTCCTCTCTCTCTCACTCTCCCTCTCTCTCTCTCTCGCTCTCTCTCTTCTCTTCTCTTCTCTTCTCTTCTCTTCTCTCTCTCTCTATCTCTCTCTCTCTCTCTCTTTCTCTCTCTATCTCTCTCTCTCTCTCTTCCCTCGCTCTCTCTCTCTCTCTCTTCTCTCACTCTCTCTCTCTCTCTCTTTCGCTCTCTCGCTCTCTCTTGCTCTCTCTCGCACTCTGTCGCTCTCTCTCGCTCTCTCTCTCTCTCTCTCGCTCTCACTCGCTCTCTCTCTCGCTCTCTCTCGCTCTCCCTCGCTCTCTCCCGCTCTCTCTCTCTCTCTCTCTGCTCTCTCTCTCTCTCTCTCGCTCTCTTCCGCTCTCTCTCTCTCTCTCTCTCTTTCTCTCTTTCTCTCTCTCTCTCTCTCTCTCTCTCTCTCTTCTCGCTCTCTCTCTCTCTCTCTCTCTCTCTCTCTCTCTCTCTCTCTCTCTCTAGTCTCGGCTCGAGAGTGCCCAGCACTCAGACCGCAGCCGCGACGCGAAGCGCCCCGCCTCGGAGCCAGACTCCCAGGCCTCGCGAGACCGGAGGGGCCCCAGCAGGACCCTACTGATTCGCGTCACCTCTCCCCACCAGAGCGCCCGCAGCAATGGCCCCCAGTAAGCCGGAGCGCCGTCGCTCTTCCAAGCAGCCTCCGAGCTCACGTCCTGCTGCTGAAGGGTCTCTCCTCCAACGCAAGCAGGACTGCATCGCAGCTTTCAAGCAAGCGGGGTCTGACCGCCCCACGGCCGCATACAACGGGCTTGCCGAGCTGAACGCGGATGAGC